AAGGAATATATTCGTCGCAATCATTATCAAGAGCGTCGTCATCTAAATAAATTTCTTCAAATTCACCTACATTTCCACGATCATCATCTGAAGCGATTTCATCGTCACTGCTCTCTGGAATGAAAATCTCAGGACCTGGGTTTCTATAAGTTTCATCATCCGATGCCTTCTCATCTTCACTACTCTCTGGGATGGAAAATGCAGGACCTGTGAAAAAATATTATACATTCATTTCAGAAAAAAAATCATTCCCACATTAAGTACGTGTAGGGGAGGTACCCCAGAAAAAAACATTTTTCATAATTTTATTTTAGCACTTTGTCGGCGTAGTAAATACACATATCCATGCAAAGTTTCATCTTTCTAGCGCTAACAGTTTGGACGGTAGAGCGAAGACGGACAGACGGACGGACGGACATGACGAAACTATAAGGGTTCCTTGACGTATACTACGGAACCCTAAAAAGACTGGTCAATTCGATGGGACTGGCTGGATTTAGCCCTCGCCATCCAGGTTTGAGTTCTAGGTTAAGATATAGTTAGCAACCCGTCCCGGACGCGCCGGGGGATGTATTCTATACCTAAAGTTTCCTCAAGAATCCCTCTATCTATTGTGACCACCGCATGAAAATCCGTGCAGTAGTTTTCGTAAACAGACAGACAGATAGACGTGGCCGACGGCTTTGTTTCATAATATTTAGTGAAGTGATGATGAGTTCATATATAAATAATCAAAACTAGGACGAGTGTAATTACACTGCATAATGTTCCAAATATGACCAAGGGGGTTTAACGAACACATTGCATGAAGTTCCAAATTTGGCCAGTTAAAAAGCGCCTGGCTGCATTTTGTTCCGAATTTGGAACAAACTTTGACCGATTAATTAAACAAGATACTATAAAATATACTTACGTTTTTTACCATAAAAGCGCTGAGGATCCATTTTTCTGCAACACTCACACAGTTTTTTAATTTTATTGCAAGAACAACAACACTTATCGCTGTATGAAGCTGAGAAACGTCGGGCTCCTACAAAATGGCGGCCTCAACTGTTTTGGCCAGAGATAATAACGTTTCAAAAGACTAGAATGGAGGTTGTTTATAGTAGCTTAGTTAAAGCACACCTTACTTTTGTTTGTTGATGCAGAACGGAATAGATAGATGGCGTTGATAACATTTTACAAGGAAAAAATTAAAGCGTTCCAAATTTGGCACAGTATGCGGTAAAGGGTTAAACAAATGCAGTTTCTTGACCCACAAGCTGTCAAGTCTCGTAGAATTGATTCATTGGTCACTTTGGCAGTAAAGTTTCTAAATTTGATCTCAGTTGATGAACTGCAACAACTAGACACAGAGTAGCGGTTTTTGCGTAATAATAAAGATTTAGCGCCTGATGATTCAGAAGATCTTGAAAGCTACTGGTATAAGGTCACTGCAGCCCGTGATCCTGCTAAATACAGCAATCAATTATATCCTACGCTGTCCAAATTTGTTTCTGCAATCTTAAGTCTACCTCATTCCAGTGCCGCCGTAGAGAGGATCTTCTCATCTATAAATTTAATAAAGACAAAACAACGCAATAGACTTAATACAGATACTATTGAAAGTCTTTTACATACAAAGCAACTGATTGGTGCAAAACCTTGCTATAGCCTAGAGATTAATAATAAATTACTATTGAAATTTAACAAAAATATGTATAACTAAAAATAATAAAGTAATTATTAGTTCGTTTGTTGCAAATGTTTGAGTTTTAATATTACCTTGTTTGTTTAAATTAAAGTTTTCAATTTTGCTGTACAAAAATTTTAGTGTGTATTTTTATTTAATAAAGATAATCAAATCTTATCACGTTTGTACTTATCCCTTGTTTTTCAAAAGAAGAAATGATGATGATGATCAATAATTCTGTTTTGGTTTATTTAATTATACAGATTTTAAGTTAAAATAGCATACATATTTAATACAGATTTTAGTAGTTCTAATACAGATAAAAGGTTCAAGGCGTCTGGCAACACTGTTACAAAGTCGTAACCGCAAAGCCATATCTATATAAAAAGTACTCTGTGGTAGTCTTGTGCCTGGTCAGACATCCTCAGAAGGGCTAGAACCCGTAAAGCCAGTTTAAAAAAAATGGGCAGTCATTGGTTTTTTGGCGGGAACTTGTCCGGCGGCGGTTTGCTGCTCCTGTATTATTGTTTAAATAATGGTTTGAAGTGGACTTTGATATGTAAAAGTGGTGTGATTTTGTGTATTAAGTGTCTGCGCATGTGAACTATTAGTGGAAACTGTGAAACAAGTGCTCTGATGGTGATGTGATTCTCAAAATAAGGTGTCTGTCTGCTTAAGTGCCTTGAGATACCATCGCCAACCGTCAGCTGTCTGCTGGCTCAAGTTGCCATCAAAATCTCCCAAGGGCTGCACAATGTGTCGCATCAACATATTGTGAAGCAGTATACTATGAAGGATAATTATTATAATATATTGTAACTTCAGGCTCAGAAGGGCTAGATCCCAGAGCCGTAAAGCGAGTTATTAAGAAGAAGAAGATGGTCGGTCATTTTAAAGATTCGTTCCGTACTAGTACATTACGGACAGTGAACTAGTTCGTTCTATTAGTTCTATTAGTTCAACTCGGTCATCAGAACTACTAACCTGTTTAAATTGTATCTGTCTTCATGGAATGGTTATCTCCATAGACTTAGCATCTAAGTTATCTCAGTCAGTCACTGACTGATCAGTCAACAGTCAGACTGATAGATACAATTTAAACAGGTTAAGGTACGACTTTCCATTGACGTCAGTGGAGTTTGGTGTTGATACGTATTTTTACAGAAAGATTACACTATTATATATATAAGTTGAACCTAACCTATTTTATTTGTTATCTGCCCTAATAGGTACTGTTAAATAAAACAAATTTCAATAAGAGATCATTTATCATGGTATCTTTCTTGTTTTTCATAAAATGGGTTTATATTTACATTATAAATAGAAACATTAAAACAATATAGATATTTTAGATATCGATTTTTTGTGAACCAATACATCAGCTTACGATTTGAATCGATTTAAAATCGACCATTTTCGGAAAGAATCGACATCCCTATTGACATCGACAATGACATTACAAAATGGCGCCAGTTTATTAACAGATTAGACATAAACATTGCAAGAATAATTGATTTTCAATTATTCTTTTCTCAAAAATTACGCGTTTCCGTATATTGAGACTTTGTGTGTGTGCTTATAATAGTGTAATCTTTCTGTAAAAATACATATCAACACCAAACTCCACTGACGTCAATGGAAAGCTAAGCCCAGGTTAATGCAGTCCGTCTCAGTCGGGCGATATTTGTTCGAGTCATAACGTTGTGTGATAAAAAATACATAATATTTGATTTCCCTTCATACTTGAACAGGCTTAGGACTGTCATTCTAATCAATAACATAAAGATAATACTATACCATTTTTTATGTATTGCAATAAAATATTTTTGTCTATACATACATAAATTTATTGGCCACTGCGTATTATGGTGAAAGGCCAAGCAGAGAGCAAGGATTCGTTGTAAACTTACAAGGTGATTTAGGTAGCTAGCTACAGAGAGGCATTCATCGGCTCTTGTCCTTCAATTAAAGATGGTTAATATATATTTTAACTGTTAAAATAATCAGTTAAAAAAATAATAAATTCATTAAATAAATAAAATTAACCATAATTTATAAAATTATCATATTTCAATCCATTCAAAACAATCTGCGATCAATTTTTTACCTTAGTGATTTATAATTTTGTATTAAATTTTATATTTATGTCATCTAGCGTCTTCTTTACGTGCCACCTTGAGGATCAATTAACTTTCGTTTGATAAAATGACTTTAATCCTGCCAAGGATGATACGTGAGGCTATTGAAATTAAAAAACATCCTAATTTCAATAGAGAGGGAGGCTGGGTACTACCACCTGCTTGGGATCCTGTAATTCATAAAATTAAAACTAAATCCAAGCATACCACTGTAAGACTTCAAGACACAGTTAGTTCATTCTGCGTAGATCGGACCAAAATTAATAATTAAAAAGCTGAAGGTACTCCGGGTTAACTTTGACATCGTGACGTCAATCACCTCAGTCCCCCGTGACCACGGTTGCTGGAAAGCAACCGAAACGTCGGGAATATAAAATAAGTTAATTAAACGCGATAAAATCCGTAAAAATAGTTTTATTCAAGTGTTATTCGAATGAAAATATTCCTTAAAAACAACAATACATGTATTCTTTTGATATATTACATTAAAATTGTGGCTTCATATGTCTAAAAATAAGCATTGTAATAATTATTTGCTATAAAATTAACCTTATATCCAATATTTTATTTAACGCTATGTCTACCTTGAATGACTACTGATACTGACCGATTCTGGGATGGTCTGTTCTGTTTGCGTGCGTCGTTCTTTGCTTCATAGTTCCCACTAGTTCGTAGTTCGCACGCACGGTTTAGCGTTGGCGAAACAACGAAACGAAAACGAAAAGAACTGTTAGCAATCGGCATTCGGAAACGTTTCTTCTAGTACAGTGGCAAGCAAGATACGTTTCCTAATCGTTCATCGTTCGCGAACTACACAAGACAAGACTACTCTGTAGGTCTGTAGTGTTTCTATATAGTTTGTGCTACTCTGTGGCCATATCCTATTCTATGCTAGCTTGCTACATATATATTGATATATATTTATCTATGTGCTATGCCTACATACTACATATTTGGCCTAAAGGTCTAGATGCCAGGCCATAAACTCCAAAAAAAAATACTACATATTATGGCCTAAAGGTCTAGATGCCAGGCCATAAACTCCAAAAAAAAATACTACATATTACATATCTTTAACTAAATAATTTTAAATTTGTATTTATGAAATCTAGTCAATTTTTTTTTACTAAATATATTATATGTGAAATGTCCTCGAGGTACGAATATATAGCCCTAAGAATATATTAAAAATGGAACTGCCTTTCGAAGTAAGTTCACTTTTGTGATTGTTGTATTATCTGCTGGTTTCTTTGTTTGGCTTTTGTATCATTTTTTCACGTGATTGATTTGAATGGAGACTTCTTTGACACTATAAAACTTGTTAATTCGTAAATTTTGACCCTTATCTTCTTATTCTTATATTGCCTTTTTATCCCCGTAAACAATTTTAATGTCTAATTTTTATTTACAGGTATTAATTTATCTTTTTAAATACCTACCAAAACCAGATAGAAAATCTGCAAGTGAAACATGCCGCTCGTGGTACCTTGCTGCTAATGCTCACTGCTTTTTAAAGAATAAAGTAGTTGTTTTATATAAGTCAATACTTAGTGATGAAGAATCATCTCCTCTTAAAATTTTTGAAAATTCACCAATTATTTATAGTAACTACTACTTTAATGAAGTAGAAATATCAAATAAACTGAATGAATTTTGGGACAGAGCTGGAGAAAACATCAAATGCTTGACTTTTAAAAATTGTGATATTTGTGAAAAAGTATTTGTATATATTCTACAAAAATGTCCAACCTTAGAATCACTAAACATTGAGAGTTGCAAAGATCTGTTTATGTCAGGTCGCTTATTAGAAGGGAGGTCGGATGGCCTGTTGGTTAACAATCTTGATAACTTGAGATCGTTGAGTCTGTCTGGCAATCAATATCTCACAGATGCATTATTTAGCCGCTTTGTAAAAGCAGCTCCAGTCCTTCAACACTTGAATTTCTCAGGATGCTCTTTGCAGTTCCACTTAGGATTGGTAAAGAAATTTTATCCTTCATGTACAAATATTTTTGAAAACCCATCAGAAAGTGTTCTAACTTTCTACTTTGTTTTACAATTTATAATATCACATGCTAATTATATAAAAAGCTTACAGTTTTCGAATACATTAATAGATGGAGCTGCTCTAAAAACCTTATCAGAAGTTGAGAACCTGAAATTAAATACACTAGAAGTTCATTTCTGTGACCAGCTCACTAACACAGGTATATTAGCACTTACAACACATCAGGCTTCATTAAAGGAACTGGATATAGGTTTATGCTCAAGAGTAACTGACCAATCATTGGTACATATTTGTAACAATTTAGTTAACTTGGAATATTTCAATATGCAAAGGTGCAGAGCTGTGACAGACTTAGGAATAGTAGAACTGTATAAATTAAAAAAATTGAAATCACTCAACATTTCTCAGTGTGAACTAATCACAAACAATGGCTTGGAAAAAGGTATATGTGCTGAAGAAAATAGCACTTTAGAAGATTTGGATCTAAATTCATTAAATTTAGATCAAACTGGCGTCATAATGATATCAGAAAAATTACCCAATTTACGCTCTTTAGACTTAAGTTACTGTGTTCATGCGGTAACTGATACATCCATACAAGTTATATTTAAAAACCAAATTTTGTTACACACTTTAAGAATAAGTCATTGTGATGAAGTTTCCGATGCAGGTTTAACTGGCATGGGAAAATTACAAACGGAAGTAGATGATGATGCGCCTATAATGTCAAATTATGATGAAGCTCAAACACATAATAAAATACATTTAGGGTCTAGAGCTGAAGAAGAAATTGTACGAGATGCAAAAAGAAAAAGAGATGTTATGCGTATGTGTGAAAAACTATCAATGGATTCGTATACTGGCTATTCGTTAGCACGTTTAAAAGGGTTAAGAGTACTAGATATAAGTGGCTGCAACAGAATCACTGATGTCAGCTTGACATATGCATTTACTTTCAAGGAACTTGTCAACCTTAATTTGAGTAAGTGCCAACAAATAACACATGAAGGTATTGGACATCTAGTCAGAAACTGCCCAAGCATTGAATACTTTAACCTAACAGACTGTTTTAATTTAAAAGATGATGCTGTTAAAGAAATTGTTAGAGGCTTGAGACGGCTGCAACAGTTGGAATTACGGGTAAAACACATTAAAAATTATAACTATTGATAATAACATTTCTTTACATTTTTGTAATACTATAAGATATTAAAATGTTACAATATTTACAGGGGTGCAATCAGCTGACAGACAAAACTTTAGAAGCTGTTAGATCTCATTGTAAGGGGCTTAAGTTTTTAGATGTACAAGGCTGTCGATATATTTCCCCTGAACTTGTTTGTGCTATTGGATCTTTACCAACCCTACATACTGTATTGATGTCTAAACCGGGACCATATATTACTGATGGCGTCAAGAACCGATCACCAGCTCCAACATTTTTGCCTGCGTTAATGAGAAAACTGCGCTTGCATTAAATGTAATTTACTATGTGAAATAACACATAATTTGTGCAGAAGGAAATATGGTTATTAATCTTTATTCAAATTTTAATTGTATTTAAATTTAATTTCAAGAAGTGGGCAGGGTGTTGTCCCATCTAAACAGATATTTAATTATGTTTATTGGCAATTGCTGAATTTTGGCAAATTGAGTTTAATGGGAATTGCTGAAATGAAGTGTCCATAAATTAAAATTAACAAAACTAAAAATTTTAATAGTAGCATTTAAACTAACAAAAAGCGTGTATTTTGTCAAGTGTGCAAATTCTTCAAATTCAAATTTTACGTGGTAGAGCCATGCTGCAGCTATATTAATAGTATAGTTGTAGCACAAATGGGTCGGCTCGACCGGGGAACGACCACGCTCTCACAGAATACCAGCGTAAAATAGCAGCTTAATGCTGCTGTGTTTCGTATGGTGAGTGTAGAGAACCGGAGACCCTTCTTACTGGAAAAGAGGCATTCCATCTTAGTCCTCACGGGTGACAACGCATCTGCATTTTGATTCGCAAACGAGGATAGATGTAGATGTCTATGGGCCACAGCAACCACTTACCATCAGGTAGACTGTGTGCTCGTTTGTCACCCTAATTCTATAAAAAAAAATATTGTAAATTTAAAAAAAAACAGTTTTGTTAAGTTATAGAATAGTACAAATTAATATAGATTTAAAATAAAATAAAGTGAAATAACCTTTAAACACAATAAATGGATGCCTTTAGACAAAACAATGGATGCCTATAAAGACAGATTTTTCATACTTTTGAATGTTTTGAAAACAATTGGGCATAGCAAAGCATGCCGGGTACAGCTAGTCTGTAATAAAATTACATTATTAATATTGTATACCTAAGTCCCACATTTATGATGCATTTCCTTTCAAACATTTTAAATTCCACCTAAGATCACAATTATCGCGTTCGTGTGGCTGATCCGTGTAACTACTGTGAACCTAATGGTAAAAGTACATAGCAGGGTCTGGGTTCGAACCCAGCTGAAACTATCAGTGTGAAAAATAAAAACAAGTTGTTGGTTTTAGTGTTTAGTTATATTGCGATTGTCCCAGTGTCTCTGTCAGGCATCGCAGGCCATCTTTTTTTTATAGAATAATGGTGACAATGCGGAACACAGCAGCATTAAGCTGGTATTTTGTGAGAGCGTGGTCCTTCTCCGGTAGAGCAGACCATTCGTTCTACAAACCACTAATATCTATCTATCGAATTTAATTATCTCTCATTTATATCGCTAAGGCGTATTTCATGCAAGGGTAGGATAAGACAAGTGAGTGTATCTACAAATAAGCATACCAACACTTGTTACATTGCATAATATAATACCGTCCAGACCAAATTTCCGTCACGGCAGCTAATATTAACGGGACTAGCCAATAAATGTGTAGTACAAAAAGTTTTTACATTTAAATTAATAATTTATAAGGGCGCGGGCCCATTTGCGGCTTTGCTGAGATTATTCTCAATGAAGTTGCAAATTTCGTACGTATACGTAGTGGTGCTAGTGTGACCACCCCATTAGAAATAATACTGGGTCAGCTACAAAACAATACGCCAAATGAGACTACACCTCCCTATTTGAAAATGTAATCATGTTTTAATTTCCTTTTTCATGTTACTGTAGATAGTATTTTGCTTATTAATTTATTGTTTTCTAACAATTATAATTTCTTTTGTATTATTTGCTGTCATCATATTTATTTTGTTTTATATTTTTATTATGCATTTGTGATATATGAAAAGCTGTGATAACAGTATACAGTAAAAAAATAAATAAACAATTGAATGTTGTTAAAATAAAGTATAGTAAAATATGGAAGATATATTGTCTCATTTGAAATTAAATCCAATTTGTAGTCATTACCTACAAGTTCACAGGAATGTGAATTTTTTTAACTGGCACTACATTACATGTATACATACTGTCAAAATTTTTTTTGCTTTAAGTTTGCAAATAAAACTGACTTTAGGTACTAAAAGGTCCAATTCTGCCCAGGAATTCTTAAATACAATAGAATAGAATAATTTTTTATTCAATATAGATTTACATGTGTAATTCTTATTGAGTAATTTTCTACTTTACCACTGGTTTGAAAAAAAAACCTTTGTCCTGGGAAGAACAAGGTAAGAAACCCAGCGGGACTTTTTTATTAAAGCATATTTTACATTAATGTTTGTACAAACTATATATTAAGTACAAAATTTATTTTAGAAATAGCTTGGAAGCGACCACCTCATTCCCAGGGGTTATTATCATTTTGGTAGGCTGGACCACTCTTACCTATATAATTATCTATTCCTGCCGACAATTAGGATCGCACCAAGTGCTTTGTTTCGGTTTGAAGCATAAGTGAACTAGTATATTTGCAGGCTGTGACATATTATTTCAGCCCACTTCTAAGAAGTGGTTTGCATTTAGTGATCTTAGTATGAATTGGATACAGGTGTCCATGGGTTGCAAGAGCTACATACTGTCTTACAGATATTAAGCTGATTTGTATAACTAACACATTTACATAATTATAAATAAAACCAAGACGAAGTGATACAATAATTTTTCCCTTGATGATCTGGAAAGTGAACATCGCCCAAAAGCTTAAAAAACGTTCCAGATTTTAGCCTCAACTAGAATTTGAATACAGGATCTAGATGTACAATGAAAGGAATTAATCTTTATTTATGCTTAATTACTTAGACTTAGGAAATAAAACAATAATTATACAATCAACTTTTATTATAATAAATTTAAAAATAACTTACAAATATTTCTTCACATAGGTACTTTATGAACTAACTTAAAACTTTGTTCGTAATTCATGTGAAAATGGTATAATACAATGATATGAACTTAACATTACCTTATTCATGATGTTTGTAAATCGCATTCTTCACAGTAATTGGTACGATACAAGTAACATCAAAATAATAAAACGGTCATTGGATAATGACTAGCGACAGAAACAACGTGTGATTTCAGTTTCAAGATTTCGCAACCCAATTCATTAGTAACTTGTAATGATTAAGTGTACGTTATATATGCACCAACCGAATAAGTTATTGTCAAAACGAAGCAAAATGCGGACGTCAGCAGAAATATATTAATGGTGTATAAATTATACAATATTATGTTACCTGTTAAATTAGCTAATATAAAAATATATATATATATATTGCCCACTAATGAATAAGTTTGAATCGCATCACAGTTTTCAGTTCCTACATACTTTTTTTAATAGTTTCCATTCACATCACGTACATTAATCAATACAATAAAAAAAATCTTATTTACATCTTTTTAATAAATCATATAGTGTAAAAACAAATTAACATCACACGTTTCTGGTGGTACGGTTTTTAATTTCTTCTCCTTATTTTGATTTTGATTTAATTTCCAATATCTTTAACTTTAATAAAAGTGTTATCAATTCATTTCATTGACATCAGCGTTCTATAAAATAAAGGAATTTATTGATAAACACTAAAAAAGTTAGAATCTCTGAAAGAGTTAGTACTACTAACAAAGCACGAGTTCTTTAACAATAAAATGAGCTAAAAGCACGTTCAGGAAATATGAATGAGTGAAATGCACTGAAATTTAATAAAATATTCAATTAGGATATTGATAAGAAATTTGAGAAACTTTTTGGATGTAAATAGTTTAAACAACAACATTCAATACTTAGTTCCAATTCAACATTTTATTAAATTAATTCCTAAAACACACAATCATGTATCGTTAATATTTTTCTAATTTAGTTTACATTCACAAGAATAACAACTGTTAGCAAAGCTGTAATGTTATTAAGTAATGAAAAAGGCGACTTGTTTCAATTATTTCATAACATTACATAAGGACGTAATATAGATATATTAAAACCTTCCACAAAGATAACAATGACGTTATGTATCCTAAGTTATTTCGCTTAACGTAAAATATACGCTTGAATTACTCAAAATACGTGTAAAAATGCCTATTGATATAAGATATCTTAAAACAATAATTTCGCAATAATATAAACGCGGAAATCTAATAATTGAGATTAATTAGTACTCCCTATAACTAGATCTTTACTTTTTTCCCATTACACATACAGTTACGCGAGCATGAAATGTATTAAATATACAGATAATAACTTGCATGCCTATACATCTAAGGGGGCGTCCATTAATTGCGTGAAGCACCCTCCCTCTGGAGATATCAGATATATGGTTCAACCCCCTTCATTTCAAATTATACAATACATTAATCTGCGCTTGATTGCGTGAGCTTTATTTAAAAAAATGTAATTAGCTTAATTACTTTTATATATTTTGTGGAGTTCGCATGACCACACTAAATATTACTGTGTAGGATTTGGCCACATTTTACTTAATTTAATCCAATTTTCTCCACTGTTTGCTGTGGAAAAAAATTGTGATATTTACCGAGGAGGAGGGAGGGGGGCTCTCCCCCGCGTGAGATTCGGCTCGACCCCACGTCCTAAACATCTCACGTTTAATGGACGGCCCCTAGTTTAATAAATGAATATCGTTTTAATATAGAAACAAAATCTTTAACATCCTTCACCACATGCCTAATTTCTTAACACCATCAGTCAACAGTTTAACTGCTATAGCCTAATTATCATAACAACGGAAAAATTAATGTTAATAATAAAGATTGATGGCATCATTTCGAAAAGTTGATACATCATATTCACTGAAGTATTGGTGACGATGCCTTCATCTGCGCATTTATTATGGAACATCAAGTTGAACATTTTTATTAGTCGTCATTTACTTTATGAATCAGTTTATAAGGCACCAGATCAGCATAGAAAAATACTAAACAGTAGTGTTTATATTGTAAGCATAGGAGATACCTAATTATATGTTTCTTTTCGACCTACTAATTGCTTAAACTTATAAATATTAAAAACTTTCAGATGTTTTCATCGCAGATAATATGAAATGTGTCAAACTATTTCTTTAAAGATTTAAAATGTATGAAATAAAACTTGTCTGACAAATATCTAAGACATTGAAATTATAAGCATTATTATGATGTATAAAGTTATTTTTGTATAAATTATTTAGCTTAATCAAAAATCGAAATATTTGTGTAAAGTATTGCTTTAGTAGTAATTGAATTTCTTTTACAGTAAAAATTAAACAACCGTAATTAAAAATATCAAAGAAATAAAACGGCAAAGCTTTCATAATGATTATGACTATGCGTTATCAGTCCATGTAATGTAATAGGTACTAATGTTTATTTACAATGGGACAGCCTTATTAACTTGGCCGGGAATTTGTATCTAAAGCTAACTTTTTATTCGACACTGTATATACCTATACCGCTTCTGGGTAATATCTAAATAAATATACTATAATATTGTCTAATTTAAACATATATAACAAACAGATTATACAATTTTTAACCTGCAAAGTACAACAGTGTCAAATGTAGATGCCATTTTTTGTTTAAATAATGTAGATATCATACATTAAATGGTAGAAATAAAAGTTATTAGATTCAATGAAAATTATTATTTTCGTAACTTTTCTAATGGTTTAAGCGTTAGTTGATGTAACTGATTGTTAATACGACAAGGTTTTTATTAAATAAAATTATAATCCCACCTCACACAGTAACCAAAGTCAGGCAAGTTGTAAGTCGTTGTAGTGGAAGAGGTAAAGAGAGCTAACTCACACTAGGTGTTATGTCAATTAACAAAAGGTATAAATGCAATAGGAATATTTTAAACCCGATATTAAAATTAATAATATTTTTTGTTACGTTTTAGTTGTTACTAAAATGTTACACGTAAAACGTAAATATTTCTTTCTTTCATTACTAGTAAAAAAACAAAATATTTATTCAAGAGTTATTAATAATTGATAAAAACAATTTTGTCACAATTGATGACATTTTAGATGTTACTTATTATTTGCAAACGAGGAAAGGGGACCTTGCTGTGAGTAGTTCTCTTTCTTCCGCTAAGATGTTTAACGAAAACAAAGGACAACTCTTGTATTTTAGTTTATGTTACTGTTATTTGCCTAAAAATTATGAAGATATTTGCAAGAATTATTACAATGTGATGATGATTCTTAGCCCGTAAACCATTACTTTCATGTAAGCATTTTTAAATAACAACAAAACGAAACATAACAAATTGAAACACACATAACTTCTAAATAATTTATGCATAAATTATTGTTTCCGACATTGAAAAAATTCCATTACTTGGATTTTTTTCCACTCTTTCGCGCCGATTTCCTTCGTCGATGTCGCTTTTTGGGTTTTTCTCATGGTTTCCCTGTATAAGGGGGCGATCGAATCTCCACCTGTGGAGTGTTGAGCGTCGAGCTGATGGGACTCGGCGGCAAGGAAGCGTCATGCGAGTTATCACCCTCCAATTCGGGAATACTTATATCCTCAAAATACGGAATATTTCCTGTATATGACATTAGCTGATAGCCTTCAGCTGAAAGTGCCCAAATATCCATTAGTCACATTAAAAAGATTAAACTACGACGAAATCGTTCTTTTATTATATTATGTCAAATTTGAAAACTGCGAAATATGATTCGAAAAAGAGAACATAACATTATTTTGTATTGCCGATGTTTATTCCTATACATAAACAGCAACACGGGCTAAGGCGGGAAGTAGCCAATATGGTTTTTTCCGATACAGGACTGTCTGTCATATTTTACGGAAGGAAACCTGCGCATACATAAATAATCGTCTGTGACTATGAAACTCACACATAACAAAACAATAAACTACCAATTCCACACACACAGATACAATATATGTATAACAATAATGCTGTGACAGTGACAACTCTGATACAGACTCCTGATCAGTCGCTCGACCGATCTGCATATTGTATAAGGGCGAGCGGGCTGTGTTGGTAAACAAATCCGAAACAACACAATCGTTATTATTGTAATGTTTGAGTAAAAAGTAGTAAATAGCAATAATGTGATTAAAAATTAGTTATATATGAAAAGCGCCATCTTTTTGTAAATTTGACGTGACAGATCTCTTTTTGCAGCAAAATATTAAACAATTCGGCATTATTGTGGGGCATCGATTGAGCCGCACAACTAGATTTAGTCTAGTGAGCAGTGCGACTGCAACAATTTTTATTATGCGCATAGGACCACGTGGACTTATACTTTGACAGAGGGGAACGCCTGTGTATGGCTACTCCCCTCCGATCCGCCGGTGGACCGTGTTGCTCAATTTTCATATATTACTACGAAAATTAACTATATTTATTACGTGCCTAGATGAAAATTACTTTTACTGTTATTATGGCAAATATAATTTTAAATTAATTGAATATGATAATTTAAACACAATAACTTAATCACATGCTTTATATTATTTCATGAATGTCTATTACTTTCTGATTACGCTTTCGGCAAATCTATACAAATCAATAAAATTGAAGTGTCTGTTTGTTATGTCAAAATAACAGCTTTTTACTAAATGCAAATGTATACGGTACTTATAACAAATAAACAATTTAAAAAAAAAATTGTCTGTCGGTCGTCTGTCTGTTTGTTCCGGCTAATCTTCGAAATGCCTGGACCGATTTTGACGGGACTTTCACCAGCAGATAGCTGATGTTATAAGACTACTTTTATATTAGAAAAATAATTAAGGTTAAAAAAAACATGGAATACAATCGTAATACATTCCACGCAGACAAGTCGCGGTGAACAACTAGTAATTAAATATACTTGCTTTACTACCACGATTGCTAGTATTGCAAAATTTATAATAAAATAAGCATAAATATACCCGACACACACAAATGAAATACATTATTAAAATATTCAATAACAGGCTTATGGCAGACACTGCTGTCTCTACTTAATGTGTCTACATTCTAATTGGCATTTATGCAACCTACAAATATATGATGAGACCCACAATTGCACTGCACAACAATTAAAAAAGCGATTGGATATTATTACAACTGATGCTCAACTGCTTTTAATTTGGAAAACATTTGATAAGCATGTATATTATGTTGCATTCATGTCATGCACTAAGTGTATAAAACATATAAAATGACAAAATATAGATAATATCAAATATTCATTATTGAATAAATGGCTCTATTAATTTATATATTGTGTTGAAACGACAAAAAATATTCTTTCAAACATTTCATGGATTATCGAAGTTTCGAACACATTGTAATGTGTGGGACTATACATTTTCTTAGAAGAAAGCCACATAAACAAATTAAAACAGCCTCAAAAAAGAAGCTAACCCATTATAATTAATAAATATCCAGTCTCTTACATGCACATTTTTTGAATAAACTACTTTTTGTTAAAACCAAAACTAAATGCACTTCTAATAACAAAAGTGTAATAAAATAACAGAATAAGTACCATCGTCCTCAGAACATAGGGTCTGGGCGCGATTTTCGTCACTGCTTACATTTATCTCACCTTTCTTCTTAGCTTTAATGAATAATAAAAAATTCAATTCACTGAGTTAATTACCTTACTAGTCACCTTAGATTGAACATACAAAACAGAAATAATACCTCATTATTGTGTACGAAAATCTATTATAAGGTATCCAATTATTGTACTCTAACATAACGCTTACACCATAATATTATATTTATATCTTGTACTTATATATTGATGCAAATAAACAGAAGCTGAAAACTTTATAGTAATTAGTAATGGATGTTATTAACATACTTTAAATGTAAATGTTTTCTCATAAATAAACATACAGACAAATCATACCCCATAAATATTTTTATAGAGCCTTAATACTAATAAAATATTTATTATGAAATACCTCACATTTCTTATAAGCATTAGTGGTTTTAGTCTTTTGTTACTGTTTAATAATATAAGCATGTATCATTACATATACACATTATTACTAAAATAGACCCAAATATGTAATCTAATAATTAATATAAATATATATATTCAATTCACAAATAAAATATCACAAGCCTCTGCTCATTTGGTTTGTAAGAGATATGAGATATTTGAAAACACACACAAATATTCTTATTTTATTTACTACAGAATTATTTTCCCTGTAATAAACTAAGGCCTAGTTTTTGTAGTAGCCTAGCTATCTTGCAAAATGCACTTAATTATAATATTATTTTAAATACACTTATAGGACATTAACAATCCTGGCAAGAACACTATCACAGTCCTTATCCATGGTTATTATTAACCCATCACCGAAAAAAAATCCATAATTTTACATGTCGATGTGTATCTTGCAATGGGGAAGCTACAGGCTACTTTGCAGATGAGGTATCACCGCGACTGATCAGCCAATCAAAATCAATCATCGGATACTGTTTGACTGTATCTACAATTAACATAAATGTAAAATATAACTCATACAAGATTATTTGGTAACACCCATTCATAATAGCTTTAAGAGAAACCCGCACATGATTAATAATAGAAAAGTATTGTTCAACAGTTCAGATGTTCACATTCATATTAAACTTTTCATGATTAACAGTAACTTATAAATAAATTTAATTGAACTTACCATTATTGCTTGATTTTGCTCTTTCATCATTGGAGTTATATGACAGCCCATAGAATGGATCGTCGGATCCAAATAGCTGAAATTAATATTAAAAATAATTAGCATCAAACCTTTTATAAATAATTAAAACTCAAGAAGAAAAGCAAAATTGGCTTTTAAAAAATACCCACTCTATTAAAGTCTTAAATTATTTAATATGACTTAAAATGTTTTAACTTCCTATTTTGCGATGCAAAACAGAAATGTCCTCTCGGTAGGATTTTGTCCTGTGGTGTAGAGGCAGTTTACATATATAAATTACGCAGGGACAAGCATCCAGACTAGGAACGATTATTCGTAAGCCATAAAAATAATGGTTCCGTGCGGGATTCGAACCCGCGGCCCTAGGCGACGCGCAACAAAATACTTGGTCAGTGCGCCAACGAACCATTAGTTATTTTGCTAATATAAGCAACTAAGCTAATTTAGATAATTAATAGAATCAGGCGTTACTTTGCGGAAATCCATTACAATGGGGTTATTATAACCTAATTTGCTTCATTCCGCGTAAAGAAATAAAATTATGTGTCCTGTCCAGTTTTAAGTGGACCTCCCACCCTCCCTCAATCGCGCGCACTATACCCGCCGCTTAGCGGCCAGCCTCCGCAGTCTACTTCACCCGAGTATGCCTCGTGTAGAGGCAAAACACGTGTGTGTCGTATTTTTGAGAGTGGTGTGTCGTGCCTAGTGTGGTGGTGCTGGGGATGGTAGTGCTGAGATTGACGGCGACGGGTGTAGTGCGCGCGATTGACGGAGGGTGGGAGGTCCCCTTAAAACTGAACAGGACAGGACACGTCATTTTCTTTCTTTACGCGGAATTAAGCAAATTAGTTTATAACAACCCCATTAAGCTAATTTATGTTTAGTTCTATTAAGTTCTATGTAAATTTAAAAGTAGAGCTTTCCAAATATTGTATACAACCTCCAAATTATATTACTGAGCCTTTTTATTTATAAATATATAGAAAATGAAATACTACTATAGAGAAAATTATAATAAAAATATTAATTAGAAACTTAAGTAGTTATTTCAAAATTCTTTTGTCATTTAATTTAAAAAATTACATGGTCGTTCATGGCTTGCTCATGGAAAGGAATGGCGAGAGACATCGCAGATTCTACGCCTGTATCAGCATTCTATGGACAATACAGAAGTTATCAATTTAACATAATATTATTATTATTAACAAAACGAAATATAACAAAAAAAAATTGTGATTTGAATAGACACACATCTTAAACTACATGTACATGATTCACTAATATTTATTTCAATGTATTAACTATAAAATATTAATTTAATACCTATATAAATCGGGACCCTGATGATGCCATGAGGCGAAACCTGTCGGTTTTTATAGTTAAAAAATTAAAATTAATATTAGTGAAACAGGTACCCCTATCTATCCAAATCACAAAAATGAAGATGAAGTGCCAACAATCGCTAGTATGAATTATAAAAAAAAAAAACAATATTTAAACTTTGAATGTAACGCGTAATTCATAGAATAAACAAAACATAATCTAAAAAGAAATGACTCAGCTAGTTTGATATGAAATCGTTATCAACAACTATTATAATATAAACGCTCCGCAATTACGTAGCCGGTGCGACAGTAGGTACAAATGTGAGAGTAAAAGCCGGCACAAGCACAAGGTCTCACACGCGGTCACAACACGTTGGATGCAACGTGACTTCGTTCATTGCTGCCAACCTTATAGATTTAGATCGCCGTGTTTATGTATAGCGCGCGCTGGTGTGCGTGATGCGTCAATAAACAAATTTGAATTAAGTGCGCGAAATTCTTTTGATGTTTTTTTTATTACAATCAAACCACTTGTTGATGAAAAAGCATCAATGAGATTATAATGTGGGTAATTATGTTCTCTATTATCAATTATTGTTTTTGTAATTAAATAATATATACTAATTTCAAGTTCAAATAATGGAATTGTTTAATTTTATTATGAAACATTTTTCTTTTCTTAAAATCTAGAGAAATAAGTACACCTAAGGTCAATAATATTTACAATTTCATATACATACCCCCAATAAAGTATTTGTATCCAGAGAATAGGCATCACTTCTTAATAATTCTCGTAGTGAATCCAAATCAGTTTGCATAGTATCCAAATGATCATCAATGTTATTTCTGGAACATACAAATTATTTATATCATTTAGCAGTAATGCAAAAACACCAAGTATATTAATTCATTCGTTCTATGGGATTAAAGGATAAGATATGAAATATTTGAACATGGATACATATCACCGTTATTTACTGCATTATATCATTAGATCATAATATAACCTTTAGTTTGTATTTATACAATAGTTAGTTAATTCATACAATCACTACAGTATATCAAAGTCCACTACGGAACATATGTCTTCCCCATAAATTGCCTCATAGGGGAATATTTGCATTAACATTATATTAAAATATATGTTCTATATGATAACATTAAATTTTTATTAGATTACAATTATGATTTCTTATATTTACGCGAACACTACTCATTTAATAAAACTACCAAAGAAAAAGGTGTATGTGTATAATTGTAAATTTTTTTCATAGTTCAAACAATTATGGATAATTATAATTTCTTTTAAATCTGTGTACAATAAAGGAGCAATACAGGCCCAAGCTTACCAATATCTTGACAATTTTAAAACACAAAACAAACACAAAACTACTTTTACGGATTTTATCGTGTTAAATTGTACTTATTTTTAATTCCCGACGTTTCGGGTGTTTTCCAGCACCCATGGTTACGGGGGAGTGAGGTGGTTGAAGCCCCGATGTCAGAGTTAACATGGAGTATCTTCAGCTTTTTAATTATTTTGGCAACAATTTGACATTTAAATCACATACTTGTAAGAATTAGATCCAAATTGGAAAGAAAATTCATCTCGAAGTTTCACAATGTTATCTCTTACAAATCTGAATTACATATTACTATAGTAACAGTAAGATATGGCCCAACATTGGCGAATAAGATATTCATTCAATTTTGTGTTCTCATAAATAAATGTTATAAGTCTATACAAATTGTAATTCAACAAAAAAAAAATGCAATATTTTTGATTAGATAGACAACAAATTCCAGAATACTTACACTGTCGGTAGCCTGTTCACATTTGTGTTATTATTTACTGTGGCAAGGGTCATGTTATTCCAGTCTAAATCTTCATTTAATTCAGTCTTAATGTCGGCTAAACTCATGTTACATCCATTGTTGTCCTTGGATTTCTTTGTCTTTTTTGACCCCTTAGCTTTCTCTGTTGGTTTTTCGATCTTAATGTTGATTCCACCAAGCATTTCGTCCTTTGAAATCGAAATCACTGGATCAGTGAGTATGGATTCTTGCATCATGTTATTTTCATTAAGATCGTCAGCAGATGTTACTCCAGCATCACTAATTGAGTCATCACTAGCAAAAATTTCTGCAGGCAACTTGAAATCGGCGGCTGTATTCATTGTGTTAAAGCTACTGGGAGAGGGAAAGTGTTTTCCACTAGATATAACATTTTTGTTTCCAGTGCTCTTATCTTTGGGTTTAGGTGTGCTAGGTGTAGTCATGTTATTAGCTGGTTGCTCAAGGATACTTTGAGGTATCAAGAATATTCTTGGAGATGTAGGTGATGGCATGGTTGGAGAGGGTGAAGTAACAACTGGGAGAGAATTTGTGGATGTAGTTGTTATTTTTACACTTTTTGTACGACCGGCTGGATATGACATTTTTCCATCTGAAACTGTAACCACAATGGTATATTTAAATAAAATTGGAACAATAACTAAAAATGTATTAAAGTAAAATAATATTTTCTAGTAATTATTTGTGATTTATTTACAAGATAATGATAATAGAATGATTGATTTTGAAGTTTATGCCTTATAAACTATATAGCATTGATGAAATTTAAAGTAGGCTGCAAGGTTGCAAGGTGCTTTGTCCATGTAGATTTTCGCATTTAAAAGACACTTTAAAGAAAGAAAACTATATATTAAATAATGCATGTATGTAAGCTATAATTAAGTAACGTGAGTCTCACAATCAGAGTTACCATACAAAACAATGCTCATTTTATGTCAGCACTATAGGCATTTCAATAAACTCACAAAACTAAACAAAAATAAATGATTGTATTTTTGATTAGTAATAGAGTAAAGTTAAAGCCCATATACGTCCCACGGCAGGGCACTGAATCCTCATTTTTGAGTGGGCCTGAGAGCAAGGATATGATATTAATTTATTATTAGGATTTTTTTTATTTTATTTCTTAAGCCTGAATTCCTTCTACGCTGCCGTCGGTCGTGCATACTAATGTACATTGTGTCCTATATAGCCCCACACTACGACGCTGACGACAGCAGCGCGTAGTTTGCTACGTACGCGTACGTGACCCACCGTACGCAACCGACGTCGGCGTAGGAGGAATAGGCCTTAGACATACAGGTTTCCTCACGATGTTTTCCTTAACTGCAAATCACATGGTAAATCAGCGATTTCCAATTACTTATTTTTTATATAGAATAATAGACAATCGAGCTCTCAGTCCACCTGATGGTAAGTGGATGCTGTTCATTGGTTCCACTTTGCCCTTGAATTGCCAAATTTATAAATAATTTACAATATTTATAAGATCTTTAGTAATAAATATATAGAAAATAAACATCTTGTTTCATTATTTTTTAATCTAGATCTAGACACAACACTATTAAGAATTAAGATATAAAAAGTCTAATAGATGTGACTGTTGGTATTTAATAGGTACTTAGTGACAATAATAAATAGAATAAAAAAATAAATTAAAATAAAAGCTTTATATCACACTCCAATTGGGAGCAAAACCTAGGCATTCAATGGGATGTTGTGTAGATGTTACTTTACTTTCAGTAAAGATTAAGTGTGATAATATATCTGTGTAAACTTGCAATTGGCCTTCCGCCTCTACTTTTTTATGTATTACTTGATGTTTTAAGCTGTAAGTGTTCCAATATGATGAATTAAATTAAAAATAAATAAAATAATTTTTAACAAAAATTTGTATAAATGTTAAAAATTACCAGTATCCACTTCATCGCCATCTTCCATTGTGACATGGTACTGTATAGATGCTGAAGGATCAGTGTTGTTTTGACCGCTAAATATTGGAGGATTAGAATTAATATCAACGGTCACAAATGAAGCGGGGTCTAAGGAGTCTTGTGAAGCTTCATTGTGCAATACGTCATCATGAGCTAATTCATGTATTGTTGGTCCATCTTCCTGTAAAATAACAATTGAAACATTAGTAGTGTTAACTTATTATAAAATGTATACATACATTATGGAAATTTTAATTGAGTACACTTCATAAAGATAGTAATTTATTAAGCTTTATATCAATGGTATTTTTTAAAACAAAAAAATGTATTTTATGACAAAAACCATACAAACCAAATTATCTTCACTTATTTCTTCCAAAGCACCGTCCTTGTCTAATTTCATATTCTTTGCTTTGCTTGAGTAAGAGCTGTCACTTGAAGCAACATGTGCTGAACTGTTGATCATCAACTGATATGGTCTCTTCACACCAACATTATTACCATTAGAGTTTGGTGCCCTCGTTGGTTGTACTAATGACATTAAAAATTGTATAAGCTGTAATACAATAAAAAACATGAGAGCATTCATTTATAATTCTGTAAAAGTTAGGGATGTAATGACATATAATTTTGTAAAAACAATACTGATATAAGTAGTAAATAATCTGTTATTCTGATAGCAATATCCACATTTTATTTGCCAGAGGGTAATGTTTTTCAGATGTTTATGTGTGTCTCTATTATGCACAAAACTGGCATTTTTTTAAACTACTCGCCCCACATTGCTGCCTACAACAGAGGGATGGTGCTGTTTTTGAAAAAGTATGAAAATGCACATATTCAAATGCAAAATTTTGTCGTAAATTGAAAGCTATTGGTGAAGAACTTTTAGAGATTTAAGATTTTGAACAAACAAACATTTACTACATTTACATTTATTATTTCTATTTCTACATTTACGATTTTTATGTTTTGATGTTTAGTTTTTACTAGAAACCTAATCTCGAAAGGATAAATAAGAGCCTCAGATGAAAATTACTACTCCAAGGCAAGCAAAGTTATTAAGTAATAACTGCAACATCACTAATATGCGCAAATCTGTCATCAAGAAAAACAGCAAGCTTCTTGCAACTTGTCAAACTGTTTGACACCTTTTGATACATCTATCCATACATACAGGCATCCAATTATATTGACTGATATGTCAGTATCAGATTGATATTGATACATCCCGAGTAAAAATAATGATGTCTTTAACTTACATTATTAACAATTTGCTGCTGTTTAATATGTTTTTGCCTGAGAATTGCTACCTCTCGCCAAAGAGCCTCATTTTCCTGCTTCATTGCACTAAACTTGGCATCAAGACTTTCCTGTTTTCCTTTCATCTGTTTAACATCTGCCAACATTTTATTCATAATTTCTGGCTTAAGCAAAATTTTTTCACTACCTTCACTACTAGCTACAATTGTCTTGGGATTAGCAATCTTTCTCTTTATGTGCTCCAGCAAGTAAGCATGACCTCTCATAAAACAAGGGTGAGAAAATTCAATTTCATCCTTTTCATATCTTAAACCTCCATTTTCAACTGAAGTAATCTTATGAAAGCCATACATATTTAATTGTCGAATAAAGCTAGCCATATTATTGTGTTTATAGTACAATGGTAAAAGCTCTCGGGCAAACTCAGCTTGATATTTGATAACAAAGGTTTTTCCACCCTAGAACGATACAATGTTAAATATGAAAAATATTAAATTTTAAATTATTTGGGTAGGGCTTTAGATTAACAACCTCTAAATATTGTACTTGGTGGAGCGTGGAAGGAAGGAGGGGGTGGTGAAGCTCCCTGACGCACTCCCCCCATTTGGAAATGTGTAGTATTATCTGGGAAATTTTTAAAATTATCACAATTTCGTGCCAATTTTCGTACAATAGGTTCCATATATATGTGGGCAATAGCTCGCCCACAAAAGTACACATATTTTTATTGAAATTTTGATTAAAACATTTTTTTTGTTGTTCAATGTTTATCAAAATTGGATTGAGAATTACCAAAGATCATACAGTCCACCTGATGATAAGTGGTTGCTGTGGCTCATAGACATCTACACCTATCCTCGATTACGAATCAAAATGCAGATGCATTGTCACCCGTGACGACTAAGATGGAATGCCATTCTCCAGTTCTCTACACTCACCATATGAAACAAAGCAACATTAAGCAGCTATTTTACACTGGTATTATGTGGGAGTGTCGTACTTCTCCAGTTGAGCTGAGCCATTCGTGTTACAACCATATTGTAGCTGCAGCATGGCTCTAGCACTTATTACACTATTTTGGAGCATATCTGCGATAAAACAGTTAGTTAACGGCCAAACCAGATTTTAAAACAAATAACTTTATCCTTGGCTAGAGGCTATACTAGTTTTTACTAAGCCACACAGGATGAACCAAATGTTTGCGGCATCTATTTACAGGCACTATTTTTTTTCCCCAAATAGATCACTATACGAAAAACAAAATAAACTATCCAAGAAACAAAAATTTGTCGTAAAATCTATGGTCAATAAATATTTTGTGAAATATTTAATCACATTTTTTACTAAGTACTCATGGTAAATATGATTTTAACTATATACTAGTCTTGGTCAAAACTACCTTAACCAGTATGTTTCAGTCAAAATCTCTATCAACTAATATTTTTTCAGTCAAACCACTTTTGACAACTTTTTTAGTCAAAAAAAATTTTGACCTATCAATTTGAATATCATTTTTTCATTAAAATAGTTTTGACTGATTTTGTTAATCAAAATTAGTTTTGACCGAGAAATAGTTTTAACTATAACATATAATGTATTACCAATGCAATATTAGTCATTTTTAATTTTAATTTCATAGTACAAAAATAAGAATATTTAAATTTTATAAAACCACCACACAACTACCAACAAATCACAAAATGTGTAAGCTAATGTCAAATGAACAAGAATAATAAATAAAAATTGTAATATTGTTGTTTATTTTCTCAAAAACTAAAAGTTTCCAAGTGCTCGAACTTTGTACATATCATGTTTAAAGAATTGATCTTTAGAACAGTAGTCATTTGAACATGCTAATTTTGGATAGTAAATCTGTAGGGGAGCCATTACTTGTGTTATAATCTTATAATTTAAATGTTGATACAATATTTACCATAAATAAAATTAATCATGTGTAATTTATAATATACTGGCTCATTACTGCCGCAGAAAAAAATATTTTGGAAATATCGTTTTAAATTTGGAAGAGCTGTATTGTTTAATTAGGAATGATACTATATTTTTTTTATAGGATAAGGATGACAAACGAGGACACAGTCCAGTCAAGTGATTGCTACGGCCATAGACATCTACATCTATCCTCTATTACAAATCAAAATGCGTATGCGCTGTCACCCGTGAGGACTAAGATATAATGCCTCATTTCCAGTATAAAGGTTAACTGATTCTCTACATCACCATACGAAACACAGCAGCGTTAAGTTGCTATTTTACGTTGGTATTCTGTGAGAGAGTGTTCCTTCCCCGGTCAAGCCGACCCATTCGTGCTACAATTATACTACTAATATAGCTGCAGCATGGCTCTACCACGTAAAATTATTTTTTCTTTCACATTTACGATAAAGTGCTTAAAATTTTAAATAAGGGATCTACGTTCGATCGAGATATGATTCATTTAAGTTGAATGATATATAACTTTCAAATATATTTGTTGTTGCAATATGCACGCCACCTTCTGTAAGTTAATTGTACTATGCATATAAACTTCGTGCAAGTGCAAGCAAGAAGTTGACAAAGTCTTACTGCAGTGTGATAAACAGTATGGCAGCGCATAAAATATGAACAAACAAAAATAAATTTTTATATATTACATTCATCATTAATAATAGAATTATTAATGATATTATTAAATCATCAAATGAAATTAATTACATACTACTCGTGCGGTTATAGAATGGGATTAAAAATGGCGTCGCCTCTATTCACCTCCTCTCGCTCGCACACTGTCGCTATCTATACTCATAACCACCAGTAGAGAGCAAAAAAATACGTTGCGATATGCGTTTTTCGTACGTTCTAACTACTATAAACTACAAAAAAATCCAGTCCAGTCGTCATTCGGAGTTTTCTTCATAACTATCTCTTAAAGAACATCGCTAAAACTCGCCTAAAAACCAACATATATTTGACAATTACCAAAATTCTTATCCTTAATTATGCCTCAGATAACATCCATTAGATAGTAACGGACACTTCGGAATTGTGAAATCAAAATAAAAAGGACTTTTTCGATTTTGAACTTTGTAACTATTTTTTAATACTAATGTGCTGCGTTTATAGCCTCCTGTAATTTGGCCAATCGCACAATACCTTTACTCACATATTTCAAAAGTTTTCATAAATTAAAATATATTATGAAAACATTTAATATATTTTAACAAGTATGTAAGGATCGTAGCAAGTGGAAAGAAGTGATCTCTGCCTACCCCTACAGGAAAGAGGCGTGATTATATGTATGTATGTATGTTATAATTTAAATTATATCTCAGAATAATATATGCCACAAGGGACTGGGGTACAGTGAAATCATCTGTTTTCATTTAAAATAACAATACTATTGTACTCTCATTGGCAAATCAGCATTGTGCCACGCAAAAGAAAAAAGTCAATAATGTTGACAGATGGCAACAGGTCAAAATAGATAGACGTCAGACATGCGATCTTTTTGGTTTAGTTTGAAAAAATACATTTCTGCAAATGTTTTCGGAATCTAAGTGCACCATGCAGTTGGTTTGTTATGCGATAAGTTTTTATAAATTATGATTCGGCTTGAACAACGGATATCGATACTCTTCACGGACTTTAACCAAATGAGACTGTATAAGATGTATTTATTTGGTATGAATAAAATAAATACTTTATCACAACCTGAGTTTTATTTACCGTATAAATTCTAAGCTAATACTGAACTGCTTACATTAGCGATAACATAGTAATGTTTCATAAAAATAAAACATAACCTAAAAATCTCTATGATAACTGCTAATATCTAAGTTTTCAGAAGTGTCCGTCAGGAGTTATTGTTCTTACATACAATTATGTGTAATTTCGGACTTAATAAGATTTTTTTTTCACTGTTGTTTCTTAGGCGAACATTGTATGGACATAGAACAATGTCCTTTAAGACGTAAATATAATCAACGCAGAGAAGTCTAATTTTGAATTATTCCAATCTTAAAAATAAAATACTTCAACTACTTCCGTATGAACGAGGAGACATTTCATCATTTCACAAGTAAATTTTAAGTTTCAATTTCAACGCATCCCTTCTACTTCCGCGCGCGCACACACGCAAGCACGCACGCACGCACGCACGCACGCACGCGCACACACACACACACACACGCACACGCACACGCGCACGCGCGCATGTAAGTGGAAAGACATGCCATATATTTCATACATTTTTGCTTCCCCGACAGCCGTGCTGCTGCCGTAGCCATGCTGGTAAATGGAAAACCACACATGGAAAATGGAATGCCAATGGGAAAATGCCAAATGTGTCATGAGTAACCATTTTTTAAATTTTCTTTTGTCGATCTATCCTAGCTAATCTTAGAATTTCACAAACAAATAGTGTGAGTGTGAACAAATAGACAAGAGAATACTAGTAGTGGTCTACACTAAATTTTATTTGAAAAATTTAGAGAATTTATTAAAATAGACATATTGATAAGATAGAATAAAAAGTTTTTAATGATTATCTTAAGTCTAAATAACACCACATTATGATATCCCACCCAGACAAAGCCAGAGCTGGTCACTTTTCTACCGACTTCAAAAAGGAGACGGTACTCAATTCAACTGTTTTTTTATGTGTGTTACCTCATAACTTTTTACTGGGTGAACCGATTTCAATGATTCTTTTTTTATTTGAAAGCTGGTACTTCACATGTTGTCCCATATAAATTTGATCAAGGTCTGACCAACAGTTTTCGAGTTATTCTTAATAATTTATATTAAAGTTGGTTGTGCAATTTTTTTTATTTGAAAGTATTAAATTAACCCAATAATATCAAGTTATAACAATATGCCGTTATTAGCGGGTTTACGCTATTGGTACTGTGCATGTTGACGGTACGGGCTCGATGAGTCACCATTTCTAATCCCATTCTTTATCTGTATGGACCGTACATAATTATTTTGTAAGTATTTTTGGAATATTAACTTTACTAGTCATTCATAAAAGGCAACTGATGTTTTCATGGCTAAGCGAGTTATTACTTATTATATAGAAGCTATCTTACATATAATTATGCAAGAAGCATAAATAAATAAATTTCTTTATTTACATGTCTGGTATATATATTTTATTTTCTAAATTATAACATGCAATAATGCTTATGTTTGAATTGCCTATGCAAGAAACATAAGTATTTAATTTCTATATTTAGATGCATATTTTATCACTATTTAAAATATTTTATACAATGAATTTGCATTAATGCTTTGCTTACATAGTTACCTAACTAATTGCAATGGTAAAGGGTTTATAAGTATATTTTTCATGAATTCATCATGAATAAGGACAAATAATGCGTCCTTTAGAAAGTAATCAATAAAAAGGGGAAATATTCCTTCGTGCACTTTAAATAAAGGAAAATATCTAAAAATAATTGGCATTTTTTGACTTAAAATATTGTTAATGTGAAGCTGCGTTGCAGAAAACGTGAGATGTATGTAACTATTTATTTATTTAGTTTCGCAGTAGATAATCAGCTGTGTCTTGATGAATTTGTAAGTTGTATCAAAGCTTTTTTTCAAAAAGGACCTTCAATTATTACAATAGACCACATGATTTATATCAATAAAATGCCAAAACTGCTTTTAAAATAAACTATACCACTTACTGGGCTCCATGAAATCAAATGATTTGTTTCTGAATCATTGACCAATTTCCATAATTTTCCCAAAAACGCGGGGACACTAGCCCCTACTTCTACAACTGAACGCATTTTGCAAATCTTATATGTATTAACACTACTCTTAGCAAAAATAACTTCGAGTTTAAAAATGTTTTTGTGAAACACCAATCTAACCACAGAACGCCATTTAATCACAACACACACATATAGATATAAAGTATACACAGACAGAATATAGACATATATAGAACGTATAGTAGATCGAATAACAACTCCCACACATATTCAGCAAAAGTAACACAAGCACAGGCAGCTCAGTTCTCACTTCTCAGCACAGAACACTAACTTCTCAGTGTCAAAAAAGTACTCTGTGCTCAGTGTTGTACCTGTGGTTGTACCTTGTACCATGTAGGTTTTGATACCATAGACAATTTACGAATTACATCTATCAAATCACAGAATCACAGATAAAAAGTGCAGCTTGTCACTTTGTCACAAGTGAAGTGACAACCAATGTTCTACCAACCTAAACGACCATTAAAACCTGTGAGTAAGTATAAGCATAGAAAGAATCCTAAGATAAAAACAAAATTCTTTTAATTAAATTATCTAAGAATATTAAGACATTTTTCGTGGTAAAAGAAACAATGTTATTGCTTTTTCCTTACTATAGACACCACAATGAGAGCTTCCATAACTTTTTCTGCCGCCACAAAGGTGCGGAGCCACTTTAGAATGAACAATGAAGTGAAATATTTGACATATGTTTCTTATTTCAAATAGGTAAAATAGATTGTAAGAAACGAACACACAGTCCACCTGATGGTAAGTGGTTGCTGTTGCCCGTAGACATCTACAACTATCCTCGATAACGAGTCAAAATGCAGATGCGTTGCCACCCATGAGGTAGAATGCCTCGTTTCCAGTAAAAAGGATCTCCGGTTCTCTACACTCACCATATGAACCAGTAGCATTAAGTTGTTATTTTACACTGGTATTCTGTGAGAGCGTGGTCTTTCACCGGTTGAACCGACCCATTCGTGCTACAACTATACTACTAATATAACTGCCGCATGGGAAATATTTGTTTGTATTAATTAGGTTATATATAGATAATCCAAACTATGGATATTAATTACAACATGCAATAACTTGCACTTTCGTTACCTGTTGTTTCCAACTACATAAAAGTTATATTATATTTTTATTGTCGAGCTGTCCTCAGCACAGACTAATATCATATTTACGCATGTTCTCGACTTCACTCGATAAACACTGCATCTCTGTTTTATTCGATAAATATTATATTTTTTATTGAAATCGTATATCCATTCCTTGACAGGTGCAGCTGGAAAGTGACCTGGTCATTTGGGTCCTCTGTTCCATCGCGAATAAAAATTTTCGGGTGCCGAGAAGACTTCGCTTCTACGATTCAACGGGTCAGCGAACCAAATAAATTCGCCAAGAGAGGCCACGATGCAGAGCAAGCTGAGCAGATTCATCGATCAGTTGTTATTTGCATCTCGAGCGAATAGGCCGCTTTGCGCGAATAATAAACATACTTTCTATTTCTACCTGCTTACCGATAAGCGCGGACTCGACCTTATAGGCCGAGTCCCCGCTACAACGCGATGGAAAATGTGCCGTATGCTAGTGGAAACTCAGTCAATTTTGGTTTGATGGATAACGATGTAAATAACAGAATAGAGAAAGTTTTAGAAGAAAATGTGGTGTGCACTGATAATACAAATATGGTGATGGAGGAAGTGAACAGAAAGAGGACAAGGGTGGAGGATGATAACTCGTCAATAGAAGAGTGGAGGATAGCTTCAAGGGGGGGTAAAGTACTTCGTCGATCTAGTCAAGAAGTCGAAGAATTAATCCAGGTTTGCGTTACATGCAGTAATATTTTACCTAAGCAATTTGCCTTAGCTAGACTATTTACAGAAAATAATATTAAAGAAATAAGTCGAGTAAAATACATTCATCAATATAAAATATTAATAACTTTTGAAAATGATATTAGCGCTGATCAATTTATCGCATGCAAGACATTTTATGAACTTGGCTGGAGATGCCAAAAGACTTCCGAAGTTGGCATATCGTATGGAGTAATAAGGGACATAGAAATGGATGTTGCCGATGAAGATATTATAAAAAGCCTGTCTTGTAATGTTGAAATTATATCAGTGCTTAGGTTAAACAAGAGAAAATACAATGAGGTGTCTGCTATGAGCTGGGTTAAATGTGAATCTATTCGTCTTGCTTTTAAAGGATCCTCCCTTCCTGCATATGTATATATTCAGGGTCTAAGAGTAAAAGTGGAGCCTTACATCTTTCCAGTCACACAATGCTCTCGTTGTTGGAAGTTTGGTCACACTCGCCTTCAGTGTCCGTCAAAAAAAGTTGTATGTCCAAAATGCACTAAAAACCACGAAAACTGTGAAATAACAACATTTCGTTGTGTTAACTGTACGGGTAGTCACATGGCCCTACAAAAGATATGTCCAATATACAAAAAGGAAAGGAGAATTAGGGAATTAATGTCAGAGTTTAATTGTACGTATAGGAAAGCACTCAAGCTTTATGTTCCTCCCTCCCCAACACTTGACAGGCCCCCACACCCGAGCCCAGCTATTGACACCCCGACTATAGAAGAAGACAGACCAGGATTGAATCATCAAAGCCCAGAACCTGTTAACGTGAAGACTACAGCTCGCAGTGGAAAACCGAAGTCCCAGCTGGTTGTAACAACATCTGAACGAACGTCAAATAAGGAGACACAAAATTGCAAGCAGAAAAAAAAGAAAGAGGGCAAGCCTATACCCACCTCTTCGAACCCTACTTCTTCTTCAGCAACAATCTCCATGGAAACAGATTTGAATGGCGAGTCAGAGTGTTTAGAGGATTTTACAAACATCGACAGTGGAACGACGAAGATAAATGATGGGTCTAATAACAAAGATTTAAGTTTTATACGTTTTGTGTGTAAATTATACAAAATAGTAGTAAGTGGACGGGCATTAGAAGTTAAAATACAACAAGTAGTGACAATTTGCACAGAGTGGATACTATCAAAATTAATCAACAACATTTCGGCTAGCTCTTTGATAAACATGTACAATAATCATGAATAGTAATCTCAGTAATATTAACATTAATTTTAATATTATTCAGTGGAATTGTCAAAGCTTACGCCCTAAGTCCTTATCGTTTGAGGCGCTTCTTACACAAGAAAAGGTGCATATAGCCGTGCTTAGTGAAACCTGGCTCAAGCCGGATATGTATTTTAACATAAAAGATTATAATACCCATAGACTAGATAGATCAGATTCGTATGGTGGGGTCGCAATCTTAGCACATAGGTCAGTTAAAACAGTTTTATGTTCTTTTCACTGCTCTAATGTTGGTATTGAAATAATTCACGTTAAAATTCTTAATGGGGTTGGCCGGTAATAACTTTTCCTAGAGGGCACCAGCATAGCTTTCACCTGTCAATGTCAAAGTCGCGTGCTTGATTTGTGTTTACTTATATTACTAAGTTCAATAAAGGTTTATAATTATAACATACAAATTACGAACATTATGTATTCGACATGGCGGGTATCTGAATTAAAAGCTGAACTAAAGAAGCGAGGTGCGTCTTTACGAGGAAGGAAAGCAGATCTAGTGGAAAGGTAAATATATAATATCTTCATTTTTAAAATATCTTTGAATGCATAACATAATTATTTACTTTACTTTAACACGTTTTATCGGAATTTATACTATATACCTTTTTAAAAAGAAGTATGATCTTATCTTAAAGATTCGTTATATTTACGCGTTACTACACAAGGCATAATACTGACGTTTAAAGATAGAATTTTATTTGTTCTCAGATTAGAGTTATATGATCAAAATTTTAATTTTGGTAACTCCGAGAATCAGGATGAAGATGATCTTACAATGAACCTTCCAGAGTCCAACACATATCGAGATATAAATAGCTGTACTTTGTTACCACCTCTAACAAAAATGCATATAAGACATTATTTTTGCTGGTAAGTTTGTTCTTCATAATAATGATATAAAATTACACAAAATACCTAATATAATAAGTAAATATTTTTTTCTGATTATCATTGTTTGAAGTTCAAATCATTGAAGTTGGTTATATATATAGGTTGTTAGTCACTATAATAAAAAATGATTGTAGGTTTGAGATGCAAATATATATATTAATATTTTATTTGTTACAGTGTTGATAATAAACTTGATAAGGCTAAATCCTTATATGAGTCTCGATACCTCATACTTGCAAGAGCTACTACTGTTGGTGACTCTACTTTTGTGAAAGGCTATTGTAAAAAGACCATGAAAGCTTTACAGTATGAAGTAGATGTTAAAATTCATAAAAATGGAACACCTCAGGAATCCCACTGCGAATGTCCAGCTGGAAGTGGCATAGAGGCAAAGTGCAAGCATGTTGCTGTGCTTTTAACTGGAATTGAACACATGGTGCGTCACAAAATTATATTACTGCATCAAGTTAGCACACAAAGGTTGCAGACATTTCATGTGCCCAAAACTCCATTTACAGCTTCTCCTATAGTTGCACACAAGTTGCCTAAGAAAAAGAATAGTAAAAGATTTAGTCCGTATCCTATTCACATGATTGACAAAGAGAGCTACAACAATAAAATTCGTAATTTAATTTTAAATTATCCAAATTCTACAATGCCTCTTAAACATTTATATGAACCAGCAAATCCCTATGCCATTATAGCAGATCATGCCTACACATCTTCCAACCCTGAAGATAAAATTTTAGAAAAACTATGCTTATTAAATGTTAATGAAGAATCTATAAAAAATATTGAGAAAATAACAAGAGGACAAAAAAGTAATTCAATGTGGTACGAAGAAAGAAAACATAGAGTAACTGCCAGCAATTTTCATACAGTTTGTCATCTTAAAGCCTCTTCAAAACTTAGCTACAGCAAACAACTTTTTAGTAAAAAACCCTTTTCATCTAGGCCAACAACACATGGCATCTTGAATGAACCAATAGCTCTAAAGGAGTATCAGTCTCAGTACGAATTAAATATTGAATTTTGTGGGTTATTTGTTAGCAAGCAGAGACCATATTTAGGTGCTACACCGGATGGTCTACTGGGAGATGACACCATCATTGAAATAAAATGTCCATATTCCACGAGAAACAATATCATAACTGCAGCAACTGTGCCCTATCTGCTTAATGACTCTTTGAATAAAAAGCTGCTATTAAAAAAAACTAGTCCAATATATTATCAAATCCAGGGCCAATTGTATTGTACAAATAGGATATACTGCAATTTAATAATTTATACATATAAAGACATGAAAGTTGTTTATATCACAAGAGATGATCATTTTATTTCAGAGATGTTAGAAAAATTGGATGATTTTTATAATAATTTTTTTAAAGGCATAATTTTAAATAACTATTTGTACAATAACTATCATTTAATAAAAAAACAAAATTGAATGTGTTAAATTTTAGCTAAAAATTACTTTCAATAAGAAATATATAAATAATATCCTATTCTATTCTTTCTATTTATTGTAAATTTTTATACACTAAATGATTTTTAGTAAAATAAATTAAGAGTAACTTGTTAAAAGAAAGAGGGTGAAGTTTTTGATAATAGTAAAACATCATAACCATTTCCAAATTTTTATTTTTTATTTGTACATATTTATCAGAACTATAATAAAGATTGTCCTATTTATATGGTATAATGTATAATGGTGGTTCTTGAGCACTGACTAACAAACCTGTCTTCACTTTCTACATACATCTCTGCACAATAGTTGCCGACTATATTGATAATTTAACTATCAAGGAATAAACAAAAAGAGTGCCTACTTCTTTGTCTTTTTATTTACAATATTTTCCTTAAAATTACACAACATAAAACAAATGAAAAATATTTTTGAGGCCAAAGGAACATAGAATGAGACAAGTGGTGTCTGCAGTATTTTATAGGTTTTTGTAAGGCCTATAAGTCTTTCTATGTGTACCCTTTGACTTGCAAGTCTTTGATCATTTTTTAATACTGCCACTGGTAACTGTGATTTACCTCTCAAGAAAGTAGGTATGTTGACTGCAATATTTTTTTGAGCAAACAAGTCTTGCACATTGAACCCTCTATCTGCCATTATACTGTCTCCTTCATCACACAAATGAAACAATGAGCTACGTTCAATCATTTGCCGGTCACTGGTTGCTCCCCCATAACCTTCAGAACAATAAGACAGGAGACCGCCTGGTGTAGAGCCAACCAAAAACTTTATAGTGTTGGTATTTTTATAACTGCTGTAAGTGGCTCTCTGGGATATAGGATTGCTAGGTTTAGCAATAGGCACTTCTGTTGCATCAATAATAATCCTCGTTTTGCTACTTTCATCTTTAAATATTTGAGGCATGTAGTAATGTACTAAATCCTGTCGAGGCCAAATATCAATCATTGACCATAATTTATGTACAAAGTGAATCCAAGTAACTATTATGTTTGAAACCTCAGTTTTGCTTACATTGAACATTTTAGCTATTTCATAATCAGGTTTATTGCGCCTGAGCTTCATCAGTAGTATAACTAATTGATCCTCAATTGACACACCAATTACTTGACTCCAGCGGTATGTAAGATTATTAGCCATTGGCAAGAGGGTGTTGAGCACTAGTTGAAATTTTGAGTATGATTCTAATCCTGTGTAAAACATGAGTGACTCATTATCAGTTAACAATAAATCTGTAGAAAATATTTTTAACATAACACTTGTCTGTGTTCCTACGGACTTGAAATTGTGGGCAGGAGTTAAGTCCTCAAGGTTTTCTGCTTCTAGACACTGTTCACTAGCAATATCCAGAACCTGACTACACTGTTCACTTGCGATATCCAGAGCCTGTTTACAAAATTCTTCAGCAAAATTTAAGTCTTCAGGTCTGGATATAGGCGCCGAAGTGTGCGCCTGCTCAAAAAGCGCCTTTTTAATATTACGTGCTAATAATCGTTCCTCTCGAGCTTGACCTTCCTGTGAAATACCTTTCGTAGTCCATGCAAACACTGATGGGACAGCAGTTTTTTTCAAGTAACGATGCTGATGTTCATTACCTGAAAATTACCAAAATTGTTAAGTAAAATGTACATATGTGTAGTGTAAGGTATTTTAAAACAAAATTAAAACATATACCGGTATAAATGCTGGTCTTTTGATAATCCGTCTCTAAAAAATGATTACGACATAACCTCGAATTTTTTTTAGGCTTAAAATTTTGTCTTCTTATAGCTTTAAGCCACATTTTTTTTACTTCAGCGTTCTTAGGGAATTGGTGTGCACCAATTTCCTTGCAATAAGGCACTTCACACATTTTTGGCATTGTAAAAATATTTATTTTTCAAAATATCCTATACAGTTTTATCTTTTTTTGGTTAAAGCTATGCTAGCGCCACTTTGACAGTTGCCAACCCCATTGTCGGCATATTGAGAATATTGTGTCTATATACTGTCCATCAACGGTTCATACGACCCAAAACGATTGGGATTGTGTGTTTTCTCTTGCCAGTAAAAATACCTTAATACTAGGCGATTTTAACGCTCATCACACCAATTGGTCTTACAAAACAGATCAAAGAGGTTTTCAAATATTTGACTCCATGTTAGATCATAACTACATTTATTTGAATAATGGAGAACCCACCAGAGTGCGGCTCGTAAATGGGTCGTTACAACAATCTGCTCCTGATATCTCTTTTATTTCTTCAGATTTGGCTACTTTATTTTCCTGGCAAGTTACAAACGAAACTCTTGGTAGCGATCATCGTATAATCAAATTATCGATCGATTTAAACTTTGATAGAGAAGTTAAAAAAAATAGGGATTTTAAAAACAGCGATTGGAAGTCTTATACGTCATACATAGAGAACTCGTTTACCGACTTTAACATTCCCTCAAACCATCAAGAATTTTATGACTTATTTGAAGTTACCTTGCAAACAGCAGCTAGTAGATATATTCCCTACAAAAACATCCCAAAACATATTGTCAATAAATTTATTCCCAAACCTTACTGGAATGCTGAAATATCTAAAGCCGTAGCAGAGCGCCGACGTGCATTGGCTAATCTAAGAAAAAATCCATCCCCTGAAAATTTAAATACTCTGCAAACGAAAATACGTGACACACAAAGAGTCATCCGGGTTGCCAAATGTAAATCATGGCAAAATTTCTGTAACTCTGTTGATGTAACCACTTCATCATCAGACATGTGGCGTAAAATGAGATGGATTAAAGGACATCGTTCTAAAAGCTCTTATGATGACGGTATAAGTAGAGACAAAGCGGAGAGACTACTCTATGATCTTACCCCTGACTATGCATGCCCGTTTCAACCATTATTTAACTCAATTAATACTGATTTGGAATCGGCAATCACTATCCATGAACTTGAAAATTCTATTAAAAAGACCGATACTGCGCCAGGTTATGACCAAATATCATTTTCCATGATTAAGCACCTTCCGTTAGTTGGCAAAAACCTGATAGTAAAATTATATAACTTGTCATTGAATTGTGGATTTATTCCTGCACAATGGCGTCAAATTAGTATAATCGCTATCCCTAAACATGGCAGTGACCCAAACTCGCGCACTTTATTCCGCCCAATTGCATTAATATCCTGCCTATGTAAAATTTTTCATTCAATACTGAATAAAAGACTAGAATGGTTTCTGGAAAAAAATTTAATGTTTTCTGATAGTTTAATAGGTTTTCGTAAAGCTCGATCATGTTATGATAATCTCACTCGTTTGATTTCTCATATTCAGACAGGTTTTTCAAACAATTTAATAACAGTTGCCTGTTTTATTGACATAGATAACGCGTATAACAACATTGACATTCAATGTTTATTGCTTAATTTAGATCGGTTAGAAGTGGGCTCAAAAATTTGTCTATACCTCTGGTCATACTTAAATAATAGACAATTACGAATAACAGTTGACGGATATGACATGATTAGAACAACAGGACGAGGACTAGCGCAAGGCGATCCTTTGTCTCCTCTGCTTTTCAACGCAGCTACTATTAATATTTGTAAAAACATTAAAAATGTAGATATTTCTCAATATGCCGATGATTTTGTTCTATATTCTACCAAAAAAAGCGTCGACTCTGCGATTGAAGAACTCCAAATTGCTTGTCAGTATTTTGATAGTTTGTTGGGTAGTTTGGGTTTAATTATCTCTACAACCAAAAGTAAATTTTGTGTATTCAAAAAGGGCCGATTTAGAAGTTTTGTAAATTTTAAAATTAATAATCAATCTTTGCCATTAGTTAATGAAATCAAATATTTAGGTTTGTGGTTGGATTGTTCGCTTAGATGGGGAAAACATATTAACGAGTTCACTCAAAAATTGTCTAAATATATATCACTGTTAAAAGTCTTGTCAGGTCCAGGGTGGGGTATTCATCAAAAACATATTAGACGTTTGTATATTTCTATCATTCGAAGCAGAATTGACTATGCCAGCTTCCTGTATGATAATAGTTCTCAAACAAATTTGCAGAAGTTGGACAGGTTACAAAACCAAGCTTTACGTGTAATTGGTGGTTTTATAAGAAGTACCCCAATCCATGTCATGGAAAATGAGCTGTGTCTCCCACCACTTCAATTTCGTAGAAAATTTCTCGCCAGTAAGTTTTGGTTAAAATCTAAATCTCTTTCAAATAACACCACTAACAATGTTGTACGGAATTTAACAATGCTCACACATTCTCGTTATTGGCACAATAAGAAAATTCCATTGCTTATTGATGTTCAAAAATCTTTTGAGTCAATACCTTTACATAGCACTGACAAACTTGAAATGTATTCACTTGAAACTTGGGTCAGCAATATTAATTTGCGCCAAGTAATACGAGACTCTATTCCACGCATTGATCGTCCCAAACACTCATACAGCAGCCGGATCCTTAAGAATATCTGTACACTTTTTATTGAACAAGAATATGAAAACTGGTACAAAGTTTTCACAGATGGATCTAAGGACAAAACCGGAGGAGGAGCAGCTTTATTGGATCCATACTCTGAATGCAGTATGAAATTTAAGATTGATTCCGATATTTCGATTATGCATATTGAATTGATTGCTATATCTGAAGCCCTATCATATATAGATTCAATATCTTTTGGCCAATTTGTCATTTTGACTGACTCTAAAAGTTCCCTGCAGCATTTGGCTCGTTGTGCCTCTCAAGTGAGAGGTGAACCGATTGCCTATGATATAATAAAATCAATCTTAAAATTGCAATCTCAAAATAAAAAGATTATTATTCAATGGTTGCCATCTCATATACAGATAACAGGAAATGAGGTCGTAGACCTCTTAGCAAAACAGGCAGTTGTGGACGGGATACCGTTAATGGTGTTACCCCTTTTTTCTGACCACATTAAACATTTAAAAGATCAGTGCAGAGCGTTATGGCAAGAACATTTTGACGAAAGATCACGCGAGAAGGGTATCTGGTATCGAACAATTCAGCCACAAATAACCTGTAATTCGTGGATAGATAGTCCACTAAATAGAAACTACATAAAGTCTATTCTTAGATTACGTTCGGGACATATTCCATCGAATAAGTTTGCTTTTTTAATGAAAAAAGTGCCATCACCAAATTGCGACGTATGCGGAATAGTTGAAGATGTTCAACATATTTTGATGGAATGTGTCCGGAATGAAGCAATTAGAAGGTTATTTTTTGGTACGAATACGAATTTTCAGGTTGGCACCTTGAACAGTATTTTGACTTATCCTATGTCGGAGGAGGCTAAAATGCTGGTCAAGCTAGCCGACTTGATTCTATGTAGGGAATAGATGGGGCTGTTTATGGTTCCACTTATTCCTACTCCTTAGGTGTGTTTGCTTATAGTCGCGCGTGCTCCTTGCACGTAACTATTGTTAATATAATATACTTTATGTTTAATTTTGTATTCAATTGTAGTAATTAAGTAATTGTAGACAAAACGGGACGATGTGGTCGCTCAGCGACAAAGTCCTTTATAATAATAAATTAAAAAAAAAAAAAAAAAAGATTCATCGATCACATAAGGAGAGCGAAAGCTGCGGGTCAAGTGAGTAGGTCTTTTCAGTATACTGTAAACCTTCCTTTGAATTCTCCTGGTGATTTTTATATGTGTTCCGTGTAGTTTAGGGATTTAAGTGCCCATCTGGCACGTAGCACATTATAATAGTAATATTTATTTAATAGTAAATTTTACGCTTGTTTAGTAAATAGTTTTAGTTTGTGTTTAATAGCAATAAATATAAATGGAAGGAATCGTAGTTATACTTCCCGTAGTCCTAAAAATAATCTCTTTTTTCAATTGTGAGATAAGACTTTTGGCCTTATTCATCCGTAAAACATGCTAATTGCAAAACTTAATAAGTCTGTTGAAGATGCAGCTGTGAGGGTATCTAAATAAAATATTTACACAAATCTTCCATTGAATGTTTTCTTATTTAATTTGCCAAAATATTTAATTAGGTAAGTGCGATTAAAAAACGTTTCGACACTGGAAGATGCATTAAAAGCTTTTTAGAGGAACAATATTTCCAAGAAGTTTACGACCAGAATCAAGCAAGCAATCCTAAATTTGTATACAATACATAATATTATGTATATATGTAGGTACAATATGCATGCGCAGTATCCTCGTAGACCGGCCTCATACATACGGAATTCTGTTTCGGAATTCCGAATGGGTCGGCCACAAATACGGAATCCCGTTTCGCCCGCAAAATTTCGAACGAAAAACTACCGTACGTGATGGGTCATATATTTTATATGAACTTGCTGCGTTCTGAATTTCGAAACGGAATCCAACGGAATTCCGTATGTATGTGGCAGACCTTAATAATCTGTGGTAGTGATTATATTCTCTTTGGTTTAAGTTTTGGCGGGAACTTGACCGGCAACGGTTTGCTGCTTCTGTATTATCGTTTAAATAATGTTTTGAAGTGGATTTTGATATGTACACGTGGGGCGATTTTGTGTATTAAGTGTCTGCGCATGTGAACTATTAGTGGAAATGGTGAAACAAGTGCTCTGATGGTGATGTGATCCTCAAGATAAGATGTCTGGTTGCTTAGGCGCTTTAAGATACCATCGCCAACTATCAGCTGTCTGCTGGCTTAAGTTGCCGTCAAAATCTCCTAAGGGCTACACAATGTGACGCATCAATATATTGTGAAGCAGTCACTACGAAGGATGATTATCCATTGTAACTTCAGGCTCAGAAGGGCTAGAACCCAGAGCTGTAAAGCCAGTTACAAAAAAACCTCTGGTTTGTACGTAGTTAGAGGATTGACTAGATAAAGC